AAAGCACCTATATTAAATTAAATGGCTGATAAGTAGTTAAAGGATCTGATGATATTAGCTGGAAATTCTCAGTACAATAATTAGAAAAAAAGATTGTCCTCGCTTAATAACCACAATTGGGACAGAATTTATGTCGCTATGCGATGCAGTCATTAAGTGAATCATCACATGACTGAACCCAATTTTACATCCTTTTTTGTGGCAGTCGTTAAGCAAATCACTGCGGTTGTTAATCACGTGGTCATTAAGCGAATCATGTGGTTGTTAAGTGAATCGCACAGTTCCCCATTGATTTTGCTGGCTGGGAAAGTCGCAAATGGCAATCATGGGACCCCAGGATGCTCCAACTGTCATAAGTACAAACTGGTTGCCAAGTGCCCAGATTGCGATCACGTGACCGTGGGGGCACTACAACGGTCATAACTTCAGGCATCAGTTGTGAGTCACCTTTTTTAGCATTGTGGTAACTTCAAACAATCACTAAACAAATAGTCATTAAGTGAGGACTACCTGTACATATGTTATGTAAGTAGATTGCTGCTTACATAACACTTGCTCACTTGTACCTCCCTCCACTCCTCCAAATCTAAGCCATCAGTTTTTTGTATAGTAATTCCTAACAGTCTGAAACATATCTAGATGGTGGACAAGGATGTAGGAAAAATCCACTTTAAAAGCCATTTTTGTTCAGGTGATGATAAATATAGCCCATCAATATCAATTAAAAGTTTATGCCAATGTAGTGTATTTGAAAATCAGTCTATTGTTTCTTAGGATAATGATCTATCACAATGTTTCTTAAAGAGTGGCTCTAAGACCCCGGGGGATCCCTCCACACCCTCTCAGAAATGAAAATTATTTGTCAGATATTGAAGGTATTTGCAAGAATTTAAAACAATGTCACTCTTCTCATTATTATTTTTGTTTAAAAAATGTAGGTTTTTTCATGAAAAATACTTTATGTTAATATCTAATATTAATATTGTCATTTTTACATGATTCAAGAAATAAATATTCTACTAATGCATCAGTTTTAATTTTTAATAAGGTAAATATCGATAAATATAACCTATACAAACAAAAGCTCTTTTGGAGTCCTCCATCATTTTTAAAAGTGGAAGGGGTCCTGAGAGAATAATGTTTAAGAAACACTGATCGTTGGAAGTTCAGTCAACAGAATTCAGGATGTTGTTTTACTTTTTCTTCAAGGTCATTCTAGATGACAGTACTATTAATGTAGCAACAATTGCCTCTTCCCGATACGTAGGCCCTCTCAAGCCACGAGTTGACGAATGGCAGAAACAGCTCTCTTTATTCAGTCAGACATTGGTGGGTACCACATTATCAAATAATTTCTTCTAACTTTTGCGGTTTGTCTTGAAAGAAATAATCTTGACAATGTTACTTAATATGTGCCTACTTTATTTTTGGCACAGCTCACGTGGCAGCATGTAGCTAATCTTGCCTGATCTCAAAAAAGCTAAGTGGGGTCAGACCAATTAGTAATTGAATGGGAAGTCTCCAGCAAAGTGAAGGGCTGTAACCTCACTTATATACTAGAAGAATGGCAAAGTTTTTTTGTATTGTTGACAAAAAACTGCATGATTTTGCCCATATAGTCATCAGGAGTCAAACTTAACTTAAGGATTATTTTATTGTACAAGAATATCCTTTGGAATGTTAATATGGGTAGTGAGTAACGTATTCAACTAGATCCAAAGAGACCTGGGTTCAAGTCCTCCCTTAGCTGTGCTATTACACTGGACCAGTCACTATCTCTCAGCCCAGTCTATCTCATCTTATGGGGAAAAAATGGAGGAGGAAATGGTAAATGAACTGTTTTGAACTCCTGAAGGATCTAACAGATAAATGAAATTAATTTATCAATTAAATGACATTGATTCTGCTTTATTAATGGCTTGAAAAGGTATAAGTAAAGTATTGACAGTATTTTCAGTGATTTATTTAAATTATTTATAGCTAAATGATTCCGCTATAAAAAAAGATTATGAAAGGGTATTTCTCTACTATTTCAGTTGAGATAGATTAGTGGCAGTTTTGCTTGAGAACCAGTGTCCACACTAATGCATTAATGGAAAGCACCCCACTTATACTTATGAAGTGTGCCCTGTGTAATTTTTGTTGCATACAAGCACAAAGGAACGTTTGCAAAGACTGAATAACATTTTTCGGAAATCTTTACACCTACCTTTCTTGTTTTCTAGGAGGAATGGCTGACATGTCAGAGGAACTGGCTCTACTTAGAAAGCATTTTTAGTGCTCCTGATATTCAAAGACAGTTGCCTGCAGAAGCCAAAATGTTCTTGCAAGTAGATAAGTCTTGGAAGGAAGTTATGAGAAAAGTGAATCGACTGCCTAATGCCCTACGAGCCGCTACTCAGCCTGGTAATAATACAGCATGTCTAAAATATGTGTGGTTTGCATTAAAGTACGTATCATTTCCATTCAAAGGCAGCAACACATCCTGTTTCCTACATCTACTTGTAAAAAAAGCTGCACAGCAACACCAGAAATCTGTAAAATAATGTGGTCTCTCATACAACTTCTTAAATTCTCCATGCAATATTCTGATTTCATTTTGATTGATAAGTGCTTACTCCTTTAATAAATCCTTGGCCATCTTTAATATCCTTCTACCATTCTTTCCCTTTTTCTCTAGAATATTTTTTTCAGGATTTCTGACTAATTCTTCTTAATGACCCAGCACTACATTCAGTAAATATTCAGTAAATAAAAGCATTCCAAGCAGGTCTGAGTCACCCCAAGTGAGCAGGATCCAAATGTTACCCACATCACGTTTGCATATTGTTAAATTAATAATTGCTCTGCTTTTGCCTTATATATTTCAAAAGATTGAATCTCATGTGATAATGTGGTTTGAAATATAGTGCATATGGTAAGATTCATCTTCAAACAGTAGCCTGTTTTCATTTTGCAAATTTATCCATTATCTTTCTCTAATGCAGGCCTTTTAGAGACTTTTCAGAATAATAATGCTCTTCTTGATCAGATTCAGAAATGTCTGGAGGCCTATTTGGAATCCAAGAGAGTTATTTTCCCAAGGTTAGTTAAGAATCAGTAAAAAGATAATTAAGTCGTCTGTGCTGTGGTTTTATACATTATTAGCCAGGAACACAATCCTGGCTAAGTTTATGTATATTGAATCCCATTGATTTAAATGAAAGAGTTAATTTGTTTCCATTGAAACTAGTAGGATGTCAGAATCCTCACAATCAATTGCACTGCTAGTTTGCTTGCTTCATTTCTGCCATTACATTGAAGGGGAGGAAGGGAGGGAAGGTTGGAAGGTTAACCGTAAGGCGCAGATGGACTATTATCTGGCTCTCAGGAATGCCCAAGGTCGTACCAATGTGAGAACCAGAGAGAATCTTCGACATGCGCAAAAGAGATTCAAAGACAGAAAGGGGGGTGAAATGGGAGTGAGGTAAAACTAAGTTTTGGTGCATGCAGGACTCAGTTCCAGCTATTTGTTTCTAGAGCTGTTCACTACTTTCCAATAAATGAACTTTCCTTTGAACCTGCCTTGGTTTCAGTGGGAGTTGCTTTCGTTGGGAACTGAGTACCACGGTTCTTACGTAGGACTTAATTGGTTCAGTTTGACTGGATTACAGTTGCAGGATTTTTTTATTTATTTAAAATTATACTCATTGGGAATAATGAATTTAATTATGTCCTTAATTCCCTTATGTGCATTTAAATAAAAGTATGTACCATTGAAATAAGTTATATTTACATAAATGAAAATCAAGAATGCTGCCTAAAATTTTCCACCCAGTTCTTTATTTATTTTTACTTATTAGATTTGTTAAGGCTACCCAACTACAGAAAGACTGATAAGTATAATTGTAAATATATTTTGCAAAATATTAAATATACTTATTTTGTATTAAATTTGCATTTTACAACTTTTAATATTATTTCAGATTCTACTTTTTATCAAATGATGAGCTGTTGGAAATTTTGGCTCAGACTCGCAATCCTCAAGCAGTTCAGCCTCATTTAAGGAAATGTTTCGATTCTATTTCTAAACTGGAGTTTGCCTACATGGCTCCAACTGAGGGAGAAGAAAAAATTCTCACCAATGATATTCTAGCAATGCTGTCACCTGAAGGTGAAAGGGTAAGTATTTTTTTTAAAAATACTAGGAAAATGGCTATGATAACAGATGAGATAATTCTGCAAAAAGGTATATTGCAGGAGTCCTGTAAGGGGCGGATGGGTGGAAGACTATATTTTCCCTTATGTATATAAAGTCATTGTATACAGGTAGTCCTCGCTTAACAACCACAATAAGGATAGGAAAATTTGTTGTTAAGTGGGGTGGTTGTCAAGC